GTCCCGATAAAAATTTATTTGTTTAAACACTTAAATTTGTTTGAATTGAAAAGCTTAGATATTTAAAATTTTTTTTTACTTTTCTTGATATACTTATATATATTTTTTTTAATTAATTACCTCTTTTATTTTCTAAATGTCTAATATTTTATAAAAATATTGTTAATTAATTCTTGTCAAAAAAATTTGGAGAAAAATATTTCGGTATTTAATTTTTCATTCATTTTTCTGTTTTTTTGTCTATTAATTGATTGGAATTTTATAGTAAATTTTAAATATTTATTTATTGATTTTTTATTGTTTACATGAAACTTTATAGTAAATTTGATTAAAAGCAATAAGCAAAAGTTTTAGGAGTAAAAGTTAGCAGAGTTGAAAGGAATATATATTAAATTTAAATAATTTAAATAGTGTGATATTTACAACATTTATCGGAAAGAAGGTAATAAATATTATATTAAAAATTGTAGTTTAAATAAATGTACGAAAGTTATAGTATATAGGTACAGCTGTATTAAAATTTGATTAATGTATTTGATATTTGTCGTTTTTTCTCCCCAAATTGTAAAATATTATAAGATTTAATTTTTATATTTTTCCGTTTAACTCACACCTTTTTACTTCACATTCAAAAGGGTGTGACTATTATATATTGAATCCTATTGGGGGTTAAAATCCAGCCCCCCTTATTTATTACTTTTAGTTGAACTCACATTTATAATCGAAACGATTTAAAAGAAAAAATAATTTTTCTGTTAAAATTTTTCTTTTAAAATGTTTAACAATACTTTCTTGATCAATAGTTTTTAAAAAGAAAAATTTGCCATTAAAAAATCATATTGTTTTTCTTGTGAAAAATATTGTTTTCTTTCATTAGTTCTAATTTTTGTTTTAAAATTTGTAACATTCTTTATTGATCAATAATTTAAAAAAGAGAAATTTGCCATTAAAAAATTATTATTGTTTTTCTTGTGATAAATATTTTTTTCTTTCATTCGTTCTAATTTTTGTTCTAAAATGTGTAAAATTCTTTCTTGATCAATAATTTAAAAAAGAAAAATTTGCGAACAAAAAATCTTATTGTTTCCATTGTGAAAAATAATTTTTTCTTTCAATCGATTAATATAAAAGTTCGAAAATTCAGTGTCTTTGTTTATTAGTGTTAAATATTTTGCATGTGTAGTGTGTCGCTATATTAGCTTATTGTTTGCATGTGAATGTTTAGTTAAACATTTTGGGAGTGAAAAATATAGAAAATGAGTAAAACTTTTAATATTAAAAATCGAATCTAAAATGTCATATTCGGTATTTTTACTTTGCGATTATTTTTTAATTTATAAAAATAATTTTGTAATAAATTAAAAATATATAAGAATTAATTATATATTTTATTATAATATTATATTATTTCATAATTTTTATTATATTATATTAATACCCGTGTGGAAAAGTGAGGTGGGCCCACGGTGGGTCCCAGGTGGGCTTCCCAGGTTCTAGGTGGGTCCCAGCAGGGATGGCCCAGGTGGGCGATTCCTTGGCTTGTAACGGTGAATCCAGCCACAGCCCACCTAGGAAAAATCCAGCTGGGGCCCATAGATTTAGTGTTCATTTAAATTAATGAATAAATTGTTTATTAATAACAAATAAGTCGAATTATAAATAAATAACGTTATTATTTAACGATTTTTACTTTTTTTAATGAAATTGTGACCAAAAGCAAATTCATAAATAATGTTAGCATATATGTGGGAATTAATATATATCCTTTCATTTATAAATTAAAAATTTATAAAAAAATTAGAAATTTGTTAATTAAATTATTAAACGGTATATATAATCACTAAATTGCATACTTATACGAATACAATGCAGAAAAATCGGAATAAACGCAAACCTAAGAAACAAATAAAATTTAACGCACGCGGGGATTGAACCTATGACCTACGGACTACTAGACTAACGCCCTAACCACTATACTACGGAGACTAACTACTGAACACCGACGTTTTATTGTCAGTGACTTGTTGATCTGCTGTAATGATTCAATAAAGCACTTACTGATACGAATACACCGTAACAAATAAATAGTTTAATAATAATAATAACAATATTAATAATGTAATAATAAACGATAAATATTCTTAAAATAATATTTATATTATTATGAAAAAAATATATCAATACATTTTTATTAAAAATGTGTTTTTTATTGTTTACAATCATTATAAACATTAATTTGTTGGTCTAAAAAAAAAAATTTTTTTTAGTTGTTTGGACTTAGAAATTTTTACTAATTAATTATGTGGACATTACATAAAAAAAATATTGTGAATACATTTTTGTTAAAAACACGTTTTTTCTTAATCTAAGTCATTATAAACATTAATTTTTTGTTGAAAAAAAAATTTTTAGGTTTGGACTTAGAAATTTTTGCTTATATAATTATTGATGTGGGTCCTCAAAAACTGGGAAGCCCAGGTAGGGCCCAGCTCACGCCCACTTACAATATTATTTCGCCTGACCGGAACCCACCGTGAGTGGGTCAATAGACAAACTCTAAAATGCTTCCGTAAAATGTTAACATGTTTGTCAATTGTCAATTCATGTACGAAGATGACCATAATTACATCAAAGTTTTATTATTAAATGTTAAAGAAAAACTAAACTAATTAATAATTTTCACTGTAAACGATTTTTGTTATTATATATAATAAATTTTACTAATGTTATATTGCAGTCGTTATTGTTTAAATAAATAATTGTTGTTAATTAGTAACTCCTGACACTAGCTTCCAGAAAGATGCAGTTTTTTTCTAATTTTGCAATTAACTAATTCGAACCACATGAAATAAAAATAATTTAAGGTTTTAACAATTCAAAAATTGTTTAAACAAATGATTGTTGTTATTTACTAATTTTTGACACAAAGCACCTAAAAAAATGCAGTTTCTTTTTAATTTTACATTTAACTAATCTGAAAAGTATGAAATAACAGTATTTTATGATTTAAACAGTTCAGAAATTGTTTAAACAAATAATTGTTATTGTTTATTAACTTTTGATACAAACAATTCAGAAACTTGCAGTTTCTTTCTAATTTTACAATTACTACTACTCTGATTAACTAATTGCAAAATAAGAAAAAACTTCATTTTTCTAGATGCTATGTGTCAAGAGATAGTAAATAACAACAATTATTTGTTTAAACATTTGATAAATTGTTAAAATTAAAATCATAAAACATCTGAATGATTTACTATTTACATTAGTTAATTGCAAAATTAGGAAAAAACTGCAAGTTTCTAAGTTATGTGTATCAAAAGTTAATAAATAACAACAATAATTTGTTTAAACAATTTCTGAATTGTTAAAACCATAAATTATCTTTATTTTATGTCGTTCGTATTACTTAATTGCAAAATTAGGAAAAAAATTGCAAGTTTCTAAGTTATGTGTATCAAAAGTTAATAAATAACAACAATCATTTGTTTATACAATTTCTGAATTGTTAAAACCATAAATTTTCTTTATTTTATGTCGTTCGTATTAGTTAATTGCAAAATTAGGAAAAAAATTGCAAGTTTCTAAGTTATGTGTATCAAAAGTTAATAAATAACAACAATTATTTGTTTAAACAATTATTAAAATGTATTAAAAACCGTTATACCTTGATGAGTTAATTATTAAATAAATAAATTCAGCTGGAACAACTTTAAAATTTCAATAAAACTAAATGTCTGTTAGTGTAGTACAATAAAAGTTTATAATTATTGACAATAATAAATTGTTTAAAATAATAATGATTATTATTATTATGAATTAATTGTAGAATGATTTATTGTGAATAGTTATATTTAATTTTCAGACTTTTTCTATTATAATGTTAATATTTTTATGAAAATGGGAAGCCCAGGTGGGGCCCAGCTGGCTCCCAGTTTTTAACTGGGCTAACTTGGGCAGATTTCCACACGGGTATAATTATTTTTATATTATATTTTATTATAGTAATTATATTATATAAGAATAAATGATTGACAATTGTTTCGTGAAAAATTCCGGGAAAATTTAAATTAAAAAATGCAGATATATAGAAATAGTTTAGTATTTATATTTATCCGATTATATTTTCTCGCTAAAATGGAAGAAATTTATATTTATGTATTAAATACTGAATTATAGAGTACACTAGCTTTGTTGCAGAAGCTATTAATTATTAGACATAATGCTTGAGGGTATATATGAAAAAAAAAGCATTGAGAGTTGTCATGGAAAATTAATGAAGCAATCATAGGACGTTCATAACAGTTATTTGCCATCATCGTGAAAGTATAAGCTAGGAGAGTTTACTATGATCATTTTCGCTGTTTAAAGGTATCGTTCCCTGAAGAAGCAATTATTTTCTTCTCATGTCTAAGAAGAATTGATTGACTCTTCAATTTGATGACGATGATGTTTTGCAACAATGCAATTTGGATCAGTTTTAATGTCAAAATTTATTTCCTATATAGACTTTCCACTGCTTTTTTGCTGTTTCTATTTCTTTTTGCTTTTTGCATTGTAAATACTTGTCATTTGGGTGATTCGTTGTTTATTAAAATGCTGTGTAATTTAATCCCACTTGTCACGTTTTAGTAGATTTATTTTGATTTACAGAGGCTTTTATTTTTGATTTAGTTATTTGATTTTTTTCTTCAATTTCCTTATTTTTTCTTACAGTTTTTCTAAGGATATCAAATTGAGTCAAAAAACGAATCAAAAGTGTTGCCTGGAAACACTTTTGATTCGTTTTTTGTCTCAATTTGTTATCCTTAGAAAAACTGATGTAAGAAAAAGTTTTAGATGAAAATTTACCGAAGTATTTTTGAATATAGTAGCTGATCAAATTGGTACTATTTGGATCAAATTGATACTATTTTGATGAAATTGACACTATTTGGATCATAATATAATATTTTACCTAAAAGGATTATAGATTATATGATAGGGATTAAAAATTTTACCTTGATCAGTGTTTCTCGAATTTCCCAAGAGAAAACACCGGGATTTTCTCGTTTTATTTCCTCAATTCTGGCCTCAACTTCCGGTGTTGCGACTCGTGGCTTACTTCCACCTATCACTCCGGGTTTAATTGAACCCGTCTCTTGATAACGATTCAAAATTTTCGATACACAACCATGGCTGACTCGTAATTGTCTAGAAATCATACATGGTCGTACACCGTTTGCGGCAAGTGTCACTATTTGTCGGCGAATGTTATTTGGCAGTGGTCGTCCATTTATAAAAACTCCACCGAGTTGATTCATTCGTCCCTGACCTATAAAAAAGAATTTCATTCAATTAGTTGTTGTATTCATTTAATTAATTTGAAGTCTATTTTTTTGTTTTGTAATAAATTCGAAAAATATTTCTCGAATGGAAAATTCGGTGTTAAAAAACGATTAATATGATCAAAAGTGTATGTATATATTACGCACAAAATTAAAAAAAAGAAAAAGAAAACATCGAGAGTGCGAGTGAGGTTTTTAAAAGAAAATTAGTATTCTTTATTTAATATTATAAATGTTCGTGCAATGAAAATTGATACGGTCGATTATTTATTTAGTCTTGAAATAAGTCGCATATGCGAATGCGAGTGCAGTTGAGAAGACGACGCGATGCGGCGACGATTCGAAAAAACAGCGGCAGTGATTGAGCTTGAAATTAGCGCGCGGGGATCCCCAACTAAAAACGTGAAATCAGATAACAGGGATGAGCATGGAAGAGGATGAGGCCGCGGATTTCTCGCCGCGCTCGTTCGAATCACCCGAAAAAAAGGCATAAGAGGCGTAAAATTGGTGGATTTATGCTCGCGGGTAGGCGTGTTCTTGGTCGTTTCCCGAACTAACGAGTATAAAGTCCTATTAGTCGAATTAGCCGCCCTTCGTACGTGGCACTGCTACCTGTATCATCGACCTTCTTGTGTGTATATACATATATATGTATACGATGTTCTTCGACATAATTACTGTGTTTATGCATTATGTACGCCTTCTATATACATATATATATATATTCTTGTGTGTCAGACTTGAAAAAAATTTCTTCTTTTTCCTCATTTATATACTTTCAAAGTTCCATGAGAAAAAGTGCGTTTAGTTTTAAATTTAATTTTTCCATTAGGAAATGTTTGTTAGCAATTTTTATTGTTGGTTTCCTTAATAGTATTCCATTCACATTTCTGGAATATCCGATTGGAGCATTGGGAATATTCTTAATATTCCTTTGGAATATGTTGTATTCTCATATATATTTTAGGATTATTTGAATCTCGCACTGAAAATGGTTTGTAAATATTTTTACTCATCCAAAATATAGCACAAAATACTCCATTTAGATTTCTGGAATATTTCATTGGAACATTGAGAATATTCTATAGGAATATTTCAGTGGAATATTCCATCCACATATTGTACGAATATTAAAATATCTGATTTTTAGACTTTTTCTTTAGAATAATGTATAAAGGAATATTCAATTGGAATATGCGGTATATAGAAATATTTCATTTGAACATTGGGAATATTCTTCTAGAAATATATTCCACCTTTAGAATGTTCCTTTAGAATAATTTAAATGAATATTTCATTGAAATATTAGTTGTGATTGGAATATGGTATATTAGGAATATTTCATTGGAATGTTACTTTTTAAATTTACAACACTTTTAGTTCAGAATAAATTGATAAATTTATAGTAAATAGGTGCGTAGATTGATTAGTAATTATATTAACAAGCGGTGTTCAGTGATTCTTTAAAAAAAATTCAAGGACTTTTCAAGGTTTTCAAGGTCCAAAATAATTTTTTTCAAGGTCCATTTTTAGGGTACTAATTTTCAAAATAATTGTTATTTATAATCGAGTATATAATAGTGTATTTTCAAATAAATTTTTACTGACTCTCTAAATTTGAATTAGTAAAAATGTTTACAAATTTGAATTGGTGACTGACTTTTTGCTTTTGAATTAGTAAATTTTACTAATAAATAATCATTTCTAATAACTTTTTAGTGAAATTTACTAATTAAAAAACAAAAAGTCAGTCTTTAATTCAAATTAGTAAACATTTTTACTATAGCTCGAATTTAGAGAATATTACTTATAAACAATTTTATAATTTCTATACATACAACAGTTATTCATAAATAACTTAAATACAATTTATTGATAAAATATTAGAAATATAAAAAATATCGATTTAAGAAACATCAATCAAAATTGTTTTAAAATAATTTAATTCTTTTGGGAATTTCTATTCAAATAATTGATGTACAAATTATTGAATTAAGAAAAATTTTTGAAAATAATTGAAATACAATGAATTTTATTAAAATATTTGAAAATAATTGAAATGCAATGAATTTTATTAAAATTTTTGAAAATAATTGAATTACTATGTGAAGAATTTATAATGACAAATTTTAAAACAATTGATTTTTGCGAAAAAATTTATGCAAATTGTATTTTAAATAATTGAATTAATGAAAAAAATATTTTTTTGAAAATAATTGAAAGTTTGTGTAGAATTTTTTAAAAACTTCTATTTAATAATTAATAAATTCTTTCGGGAAATTTTATTAAAATATAGTATAGAATATTGAAAACCATCGAAGTAAGAAAATTTTTTGAAAATGGTAATTGAAATTTTGCAATGAATTTTATTAAAATTTCTCAAAATAATTAAACTTTGTAGAAGATTATTGTTATTTATTTATAAAGATAATGTAAATAAAATAAATAAAATATAAATAATTTGTTTGGGAATTTATTAACTTTTTAAATAAAATATTATATTTTGTTAAGTATTTCTACGTTTTTGTACTATAGTTTTAGTGAAAAATGACTAAAAATTAGTGAAAATTAATAAGAATCGCAGTAAAAGTTAGTAAGAATTAGAAAAAATTATAGTAAGCACCGAAAATTGAAATCAAATTATGATTTGATCCACGTTTTGGTATTAATTCGTTGCAATTTGATATACTTTTAAATTAACAGTGTTTTTATTTAGCTCAAATAAATTATATTTGATTCAAATAAAAAATTTTTCTGCGGGTACAGGTTTTTTAGGATTAAATACGCAGATCTTTAGTTTTGCTCGAGCTAAAAAATTTCTTTTTGAGAGAATTTCCCTTGCTTTATTTTTTCCAAAACTTAAATTGCTTCTGTTAAAAAAGTAATAAATAATATTTATTTATGACATGAATAAGAAGTGCATGTATTAAACGGAGAGTGAAACTTAAATTAATTTGCAAGCAAACATATTCAATTCTTAGATCGTATATTGAAGAATTTTAATAGACAACTTGTATGTTTCTTGACGAGTTATTTCAATTTATAAAATAACAAGCGTATAATCGATTGGGACTGCCTTATTATAATATAACGATAGTATTAGGTGATATATATACATATATATCTGTACAAATGACGACCTAATAGAGATTAGAAATCAGGTTCGATACTGTAAATTTATTATTAAATGTAAACATTTGTTTTTTTTCTTTAAAAAAATATTTACGAACAAGGAAAGATAAATAAAATTCTTGTTCTGTTATGTGATGAGCTTTTCCTGATGTAGAATTTTCTGTTTTTCTTTTAAATTATAAGAGGATTTTTTCTTTCTTTCATGTAACTTTTGCGTTTTGTTGTCTTGAAGCAATCAATCATTTCGTTGAAACAAAAAGTTTAAACTTAAGCTATGAATAGGAGCAGAATTTGTTTTATTGAATGTCAAGTAATGCTAAATGGTGCTAAAAAGAAGCAAAGTTTGTGTCAATCTTAATTTTAGGGTTAAATTAAATACTCTTTTTGTCACGGTATTGAGAACAATGTATACGGCATTTTTCAGTATAAATCTTACAATCGTATAATATTATGTTTAGAACTTAATTAACAAAATTATTTCTTCCTTGAAAAATGCTTCTTGGTATTGTTGCTATATTTTTCTTCTTCTTTGGAATGAATTTCCAGTTTTTAAAATTAGAACTGAACAAGTGAATTGCCGAATGATTTTCCAGAGACATTAAAATTAGGACTGAACCAGTGAATAATTTTTTAATTGAACATTAAAATTAGGACAGAACAAGCAAATCAATTGCAGAATAATTTTCCAAGATATTAAAATTAGGACTAAACGAATTACTTGCGGAATAATTTTCCTAGTAGACATTAAAATTAGGATTGAATTAATTATCAATTTTTGATAAATGTAAATACTGAAATCGAAAACGGAAAATTTGAGACTAACCTTGAAAAGGATATCCCCCAAAAATGGGCCTCATGCCGCTCGTAACGTCCATGTTTCTTTTCTTTTTCTTTATAATCCAATTATAAACTGACACTCACTTTCAAAGGCATTAAACAATTTTAAAAAATTGTCACTGACACAAACACTTATTGACTGATAAATAAAAGTCTGATTAAAATTCTCTTATAAGAAAAAGAAAATAAGACAATAATAAAATAAAAAAGGATTGTTGATATGGATAATAAAATAAGTTTCAATTCTTTTGGCTATTTATTCAATTCAATTTAAATGAATCCTCTTACTATAGAAGATATCAATATTGACTCATAGGATTAAGGAGTCAAAAAAACAAAAACAAAAATTTGTTGAAAAAAAAAAAACAAAACTGAAAAATGCCGTGTGGTTCTCGTTGCGAGAAGTTCCGAGGCAATAATGTGTCGGTGAGGATGCTTCTTCTCGTGTCTCTGTTGGTAACCTGGTCAACAGGGTACACAAGCTGGGGGACACCAAAGGGGGCTGATTGTTGGGTCTGAAATGTGTTCAAGGGGACCCATTATAGGCTACGCCCTGCCACGTGGTTGGTAACCAAGAGCTTTACAATGGGCGTCTCTGCCCACGGATCCGCCTACGGAACGTGCCCGGCTCTGTGCAGATACCACACAGTCTTAACATGACATTAACTGTAAACAACTTTTATGAATTTTTCTTATTGCCATATGCGCACAGAAATGAAGTGCACATGACGGAGATTTAGTGAGTTCAATGCTGCTGATAACGTCTAGTGTGAATAATTCGAGTTGAAAATTGAATGGAGTTTGATTAGATATGAGAAAGAGGGGCCACAAATTTCAAGTGGTTATGATTTTTTTTTAATTAAATACAATACAATGGGTTTAAAATTGATTTGCAAGTGATTGATTATTGGATGCGGAACTGATTTTTGTTTAAGGTCAATGTTTGTTGATTTTTGTCAAACATTGTTTTTAGGCAGAGTTCTTTTTGGTTTTTGTTGATGTTATGCTGTATATAGATAAAAATTGGGTTTTTGTAGTCGAAAAACACTAATTTTTTTGGGCTGTATTCGAGAAAATTGTTTTTAGAAAAGAATATTCTTTGGTATAGTATTTTTGGTAGGAGGATTTGTTGGTATTTTTGGTTTCTTTTTCGTCTCTTGTTCTTTTTTGGTATCTTTATCATCTTTGTTGTCTTTGTCATCTTTGTTATCCTTTTGTTGTTCTTTTACTTTATGTTCTTCTTCTTTTTCATAATTTTGGTTTTCTTCCTCTTCTTTATTCTTTTGATAATTTTTTTGAACTTCTGTTTTTATTTTTCTTGTTTTTTATTTTCAAGTTTATTGTTTGAGATTTTTTATGTTTCTTGTTTTCCTGTATTTTGTTTCTTCTGTTTATTTTCTTGTTGCTGTTTAATTTTTATCAGCTTCTTTTTCAGATTTTTGTCCTTTTGCTTGTTCTTCTTTTTCTTCTTCATCTTCACCTTTTTTATCATGTTGTTGTTCTTTTGCATTATTCTTTATCGTTTTACTCTTTTTTTAACAGTAGCATTTTCCTGTTTTGCTTCTTGAAGTACAAAGAAGAACTTCTTGTTGTTTTGTCTTTATCAGCTTTTTCATGTTTTTTAGTTTCTTATTAATAATTATCTTATTGTTGTTCATAGCTTCTTTTTCTTTGTGTTACCTTATTGTAGGAAGAAGATATTTGTTTGCTTGATTATCTTTGATAATCTTCTTGATTTTTTTCTTCAACTTTATATCTTATACTTTTGTTATTCTTCTTGTTCTTTTTTATTTTTATCTTATTCTTAATAAAAATTAAAAAAGAATTGTATGGTAAGAAACTTAGAACCGAAAAAATTAATGGAGTTCATAAGCCAGAATTCTTAATTTTCTTTAATAATTACCTACGAATTTTTGCAAATTGATTTGTATTTTCTTGATTTTAATGGAGATGGAACAGGATTTTGTGTTTCTATTTTGCTGTGACGAGGCACTATATTTACTTATTTCGGTTATTTTTGTTATAACTATATTTAGATCAAATAAATATCTATACTCAAAATGATTCTACAAAATAAATGATTAATGTATAATTAAATGCTTTTGTATGTTCCATTATTTTTCTTGTTCTTCTGCTTCTTATTAATCTTTTTGTTATTCTTTTGTTTCTGCTCCTTCTTCTTTTCAAATTTCGTATAGTCATCTTTTTTGTTTCAACCAGAATCTGCATCATCAACAAGAATTTAGATTAACAATTGATTTAGATCAACAAGTATTTAGATAACAAGAAACATAACAAAAGATGACTAAAAAAGTTGAAAAGAAGGAGAAACAGCAGATGCAGAAGAATAACAAAAAGATTAATAAGAAGTGTAAAAAGAAGATGAAGAAGAAGTTGATAAATATAATTTTACTTTATTTTGTTGAAATTCCTTATGAAAATTCTTTGACATTAATTGTAAAGCAAACATGATGGTTCATTTTTCACAGCTTCTCTTCAGATTTTGCTCCTTTTGCTTATTCTTCTTTTTCTTTTTCATCTTCTTGTCCTTCTGCTTATTATTTTTTCTCTTCTATCATCTTCATCTTTTCTATCATGTTGTTCTTTTGCATCTGTTATTCTTCATCGTTTTATTCTATCTTTAACGGCATTTTCCTGTTTTGATTTTTACAAGATCTTCTTGTTGCTTTATATCTTTATCAGCTTCTTCATGTTCTTTATTTTCTTATTTAATAATCTTATTGTTGTTCAGCTTCATTTTCTTTGTGTTCCCTTATATTTTAGGAAGATGTTTAGAAAGATGTTTAGGAATAAGCTATTTGTTTGCTTGATTATCTTTGATAATCTTCTTGATTTTTTTCTTCAACTTTATATTACTTTTGTCATTTTTCTTGTTCTTTTTTATTATTACGTACCTTCTTAAATTGCGTTTAGAAAAGAATTTTGCTAACGAACTTAGAACCGAAAAATTAATGGGGTTAGTTTTCTTGATTTTCTATAATAATCCGAATTTTTGCAAATTGATTTGCTTTTTCTTGATTTTCAATGGAGATTTCTTAGTCAACTTTTCTTTTCAATTTTTTGTTTCAACCAGAATTTGTATCATCAACAAGAATCTGTATTCAGATAACAAGAAACAATAGATGACTAAGAAAGTTGAAAAGAAGGAGGAAACAGCTGATGCAGAAGAATAATAAAAAGATTAAGAACAAGAAGAACAGTTGATAAATATAAATTTACTTTATTTTGTTGAAATCCTTTGAATTATAAATCAAACATGGACCATCATGTTTGCTTTATGCAGACATGATGGTCACATCATGTTTGATTTATATTTAATGTCAAAGGATTTCCATGAGTCACAAATAAATTGAGCAACTTTTCTGCAAACACATAAAGAATGGAGGCATTTTCCAACAATGACTCAGAAAATACGTGCACCCCAAAGAATTTACGAACTAAATTCCTTCACTGTTAATCAGCAATCATTACAAGGATTCTTCTCCCCATTCATTATTTGAAGGAACATCCTAAGGACCAAATGCCCTTTTGCAGACAACAGAAAAGAGAGACTTTTAACTAGTTGCTAGTGTGTTGAAAGTGAGCAATTTTCCTTATAACAATGAAAAGTGTCTACCTAACATCCCAAAGGGGGCCAAGAAGTGCGTAAACCAAGATTCCGAGACAATTCCAGGTCGATGATGTCTTGGACAATTCGGAAAAGAGCAAACTGCGAGACAATAACATTTGACCTCGTGCCTCAACTTGGTGTAAATTTTCCAAGGAACTTATAAGGATTCCCAAAAAAATGAGAGAAGGGAAGAAACAAGTTTCTGAAGGAGATTCCATTGCGTGAAAAGCGTCTCCTTGTTACGACATACTGTCCCAACCTTTCGATTATTTACAACTCCCATACTGTGCGAGAGCAAAATAATAATGGGTATATGATGGGGTCTTATAAATTTTATGGAGGTTTCCTCTTGTGTTCATTTGTACAGTGTAGTTGTAAATCTCTTCTTGGCGCACGGTAGCGAGGTGAGTGGTAGCTTGGAGTTTGGGAAATGGTCCAGTGGACACCATGGGAGGTCGTGTGTTCTACTGGTCTTGTGCGAAGGGTGATGCAGCATCAGCAGAAGTAGCAGCAGCAGCATCGGAAGCAAAAGTATGGCATTTTTGCTGGAAATATTTGAAATGTCTTTGCCATGAGACACCGGGACAGAAATATGCCCCCTCGAGGGAGAATTCTGAAATGTTGGACTTTTAACAAGAGAGTGACAATGAGACCTCCAGGGCCTGGTTACAAAAATATTGAGTTAGTTCGGGTTCAGGGTGACGACTGCTGCCTGCAGCGTTTTAGCATTACGATGATTATATTGTCGAGCTTCTAAGTTTCGATGCGGATTAGCTGGAAACGATTATTATGCACACTGCAGGAGGGTGGTTGACGATTTTGCCCCATCAGTTATTTTTGAGTATTCAAGTTTGAGTCTGGTGTGGTGCTCCAATATTGGGAGCTACTGGTATACATAATTCAAGGTCTCAACACCATTGCCCTTCACTTTAATGATCATTAGCGTCACTTGTTCGGTTTCTGATTTACGATTTTGCAAAAATTGTCATTTTTCATTTTATTAAGTTGCAAACAATTTTTTTTGTATTATGCTGTAGTTATTTAGTTTAGATCCGGAGAGAAAGTTTTATTTGAAGCTTGTATGATTTCTTTGGGATGAATAGAAGTATTATTTGTCTCAGAGACTACTATTAGATTGTTATCAGATAAATATTTACTTGAATCAAATAGTTTTTATTTTAATATAAAATTTAATCTCTTTTTTAGAGACTACTAGAGTATTATTAAATAAATATTTACTTGAATCAAATAATTTTTATTTTAACAAAAAATAAAATAAATATTATTTACTTGCATCAAATAATTTTTATTTTAATCAAATTAATTATACTTAATCCGTACACCCAGAAGAAAGATATATATTTACCTTACAGTTAACTAGACTTTTTATTTGTTTCAAATAAATTTTATTTGATTTAAATTGAATTTTATTTAGTTCAAATAAAAGTTTTCTTTATGTCGAATAAAATTCTTATTTAAAACAAATAAATATTGTATAGTTAACTCTGAAACAAATATACTTTCATACTGAACGGGAATAAATTATAGGTACTTGATTAAATCAAATTTTTTTAATAGTTTTTGGTTAATAAGTGGATTTTTTTAATCCTTAAAAAATAACCTTTTTGTTAAAAAATATATTATAATTGTTGCAACCTTTATAATTTTGAATTAGAAATAATTTAGTTCTTGCTTAGGATTTTAAATTTTTTGAAAATAATTGGGTTCTTTCGATGAATTTTATTCAAATTGTTGAAAATGATGAAATATTTTCTTGTAAATTTACTTTAATTGTTTTGAAAATAATTCAATTTCTGCGACAAATTCAATAAAATGTTTTGAGAATAATTGAATTTAAAAAAAAAATTTTTTT